GGTCCCAACGTGTCTCTGTGGGTCCCAACGTGTCTCTGTGGGTCCCAACGTGTCTCTGTGGGTCCCAACGTGTCTCTATGGGTCCCAACGTGTCTCTATGGGTCCCAACATGTCTCTATGCTCCCACTGTTCACTGGAACAGGCTGCCCAGGGAGGTGGTGGAGTCTCCTGCTCTGCAGATGTTCCAGACCTGCCTGGATGCCGACCTGTGCGACCTGCTGTAGGAACGGCTTTGGCAGGGGGTTGGACTCCATGAGCTCTGCAGCTCCCTTCCATCCCCTACAATTCTGTGATGCTGTGATTCTGTGATGGGTGCCCAACGTTGTGTTCTCCCTCCAGGAAATGGAAAAGGAAATTAAGAATGTATTCCGAGGAGGAAACCAGGACGAGGTGCTCAGCGAAGCTTTTCGGTTAACGATCACCCGGAAAGACATCCAGACCCTCAATAACCTGAACTGGCTCAACGATGAGGTGAGCAGCCTGTGCTGTGCCACGGAGGCTTTGTTTAAAGGGGGTCAAAGTGAACAGATGTCTGCCTTCTCCTTGCCTGAGGAAGTCAGAATGGGACCCAGTGCTGTGCTCTGGGTTGGTCAAACTGAGGAGAAACCCCTGCGTCGAGCAGGAGCTTGGAAAAATAGTAATAATGAGATGAGAAGAATTTGGCAATGGATGCCACCAGGGCAGGATGCATAAAGCTGAACCTTGGGGGACTGCGTGCTTAAATACTTCTGGATTTTTTATTGAAAGGTTTCAGAGTGTTTGAGCTGCTGTAAATCCCAGCAGAGGCAGCTCTACAGAGTTGTGGAGGTGAAAATAATTCCTTTTTCTTTTTTTTTTCCCCCCCCAGATAATTAATTTCTATATGAATTTGCTGATGGAGCGGAGCAAAGAAAAGGGTTTACCAGCAGTTCATGCATTCAATACTTTCTTCTTCACCAAATTGAAAACAGCGGGGTACCAAGCTGTGAAAAGATGGACTAAAAAAGTGGATATCTTCTCAGTGGACCTCCTCTTGGTGCCTATTCATCTGGGAGTGCATTGGTGCCTAGCAGTGAGTGCTTCTGCTATGGAGCAGGCCATCCTATAAGCTCACCTGTGGCTGAATCACAACATTTCATGGCTCTGCAGTGAGGGGTTTGGGGGGGGGAAGGTGCACACTGATGGCTGAAAGCAGGACGTGAAGGCAGTGAGAAAGGAGCTGAGGTTTGCTGTCTTGTCTTTGACTAGCCTTCAAACAGGGGAGAGGAATAAAAAAAAGAGCTGTGAGGTTCACACCAGGTTGCAGCTCTCTGGGGAAGGATCTCATTTCCACATTCCCACAAGTCTGCCTTTAGAGGCACTGCTGTGGGATGGCTGCAGAAAGATGCAGGCAAATGATAACAGTGCAGCTTTCTGGGCCTCCTGCCCCGATGCCTTGCGTCCCTTCTCGTGGCACCTGAGCAGTGCTGGATCACGTGTGGCCTCTTGGGTTCCTTCTGCTTCATCCCTTGGATGCCTTGCTGCCCAGCAAGGATGGGCTCACAGGGGTGTGAAAATGGAGCGTGGGGCCACGAAGCAAGGAGCTCAGCACAAACGTCAGGTGGGGCAGAGCCTTCTGTGAGCAGATCTGCTGGTCAGATAACAGATAACAGCGCTCTTGTGTTCGACTGGGCTGCTCTGAGCAGAGCCTGATGGAGATCTGAGTGCTTCAATAACAGGGAGGTTTGGGGGGGGCTGTGGCTGCCAAGCAAGTTACAAACCCTTCAGTGCTCTGAAGTGGGTTTTAAACTTCCTTTTAGCAAAGGGTTTGGCTCACAAAGCCAAAGTGTCAGCAAAGCGTCCTGGCACAGGGGCGAGCTGCTTGTCTTCTGCATTGCTAATTGTGTAACGAATCTCTGTGTGTAGGTCGTCGATTTCAGGAAAAAATCCATCACCTACTATGACTCCATGGGTGGAATAAACAGCGAGGCCTGCAGGATACTGTTGTGAGTAACACTCGAGTTGTACCTGTTAAAATCCAGGCAGCTCCTTGGTGTGCACAGTTTGCAAAGCGACGGCTGTTGTGGGGGCAGCCCCTGCCTGGGCCCTGGGAGGGGGGTGAGGAGCCTTCTGGTTCTCTTGCTCGGTTTCACCACACGCTGCTGATGCAGCCCCTGTCACAAAGTTGGTCCGCAAGAGAATCCTGCGTAGGTTCTGTCTTCTCTTTGCAGAAGATCCCTCAGTGAGGCTGCTGTTCCCTGTGCAGGTATAAACAGGTGTCAGACCCGTTCTGTTAAGGGCATCAAGCACTGCCAGTCTTCCTGGGCATCGTCTTTAGGTGGAAACCAACGTCTCAGACCCTGAGGGTCATCAGGGTCCTGCAGCTGCTGGAAGAAGTGGCATCTTCTGGCCATTCCACAGCTGGAGGCTTTTCCTTTCTGTGGCAAAGAGCAGCTCAGGAATTTGGCCTTTCATTTCAAGGAGCTCCTGAAGAAGCACAGTGGTGCTGTGGGGCGCGGAAGAGTCTTGGATCAGAAGGTGGTTGAAGGTTTGTGCAGATCTGAGCTCTACCAGGACATCCTGTGCCTCCAAGTGGGGCTGGATGGAAGCTGCTCTTCTTGAGTTCAGGTCTCGCTTTCACCCTCCCAGATTGAAGCTGGCTCCTGGCTCTGCTGACCTCTCGTAGAGGAGAGGTGCTTGCCTGGCTAATTCAGTCCTGGGCAGCTTGGTGCTGCATTTTCCCATCTTTGGAAGCAGGCTAAAAATGAGCTGCTCCTCCCAGGGGAGGAAAAAGGCCGTTTCCCTACAGCGCGTCGTCACGCAGGGCCGTGGGGCTGATGCAAATCAGATTCCAAAGCCATTAATGAATGGCACTCGCTGGCCCCTCTGTTTTTGCAGCGCTGACCCCGGGTCGTCCTTCGGTTCTGTTTCTCATCTCGGCTCTGATGCCGATTGGGAACCTGATCCCAAGCCTCTGGCGTGAGGTTGAGTGTGTCAGCAGCAGAGGTGCCACTCATTCAGTCGAGGAATGTTAATGATGATAAAGGCAGACAGGAGACAAATGCCATGGAATCATTTCCAGGCCGTTTCGTGCCTCTCGCAGTTCAGGTGTTCTGCAGTCTGCGCCTGCTGGGCTGATGGAAATGACTGGAAAAATGGTTGTTTCTCGTTTTCTGCAGTCTTGTGGTGGTTTAAAGGGAGGAAATGGAGACGGATGAGATCTTTAGAAATGGCTCAGAGCGGTGTCTCCTCGTTCCTTATGCCTCTTTCTTCAATGTTTGTCTGCGAGTGATGCAAGCAGAGCCGGCCTGCCTTGGGGCAGGGATGATCTGGGTGAAATTAGCTCCTTTCAGCCCGAATTTCTTTGATTCTGAGGAACAAAGCACGGACATCTGGTGAGGCAAAGCACCTGGGAGGTGAGAGGGGGACGCAGGAGTCCCATCTGCAGTTCATTTAGGGGTCTGGGGTGAGGAGGCAGATCTCCAAGCTGGCTGCAGTGAGCACCAGAGGACACGAGGTGTTTGGTTCTGTGCAGGATCAGTGGTAGAGACCCAGGATTTCAGGTCACTGTTGCCCTGGACGTAATTGTTTTCCCTCTGTTTCCTTTTAGGAGGCTTTTATTGGTTGAATGCAGTGGGAGGATCACTCCGGGAAGAAGGGACGGAGGTCCTATTCATGGTTAGTGACCCTTTCATGCTTTCAATCTTTAGAGCTTCCTAAAGGTGGTGAGTGTCTCACAGCTAGCCAGATCTTAGAGGGCAATGGATGCAATGCAAGGCTGGCCAGGCTGCAGGGACTGCAGGTGTTGGCAGTCTGGTAGCTGGGCCTTGCTGCTGGGCCTGGTTTGGCATCTGGGCTTTCACACAGCTTGGCTGTGAGTCCTGGAGAGAGTTTGCAGAAAGCTGCCCCTGCTTTGTCAGGGCTTTTCCTCGAGGAAAAGGTCTTGCACTGGAGCAGATGTGAACCAACCTGTTACAGTCAGTGTCTTGATTCTGGTGTGCTGGTGCTGGAGGCAGAAGGCTGAAGGGATGGAGCACACAAAGCTGGTCGTGCCTGTGGAATCTTATCTGCTGCTTGCTGCAGCACTGGAAGTGCTGACCTTCGTGTGCCGTTTTCTTCAAGGCTTTTAGACATTGTTGATTTCAGTCATTCCTCGAGACACCTGCTCAGGGTTCTGTGTGTGAGCTGTAGAGGGCAAGAATCCTCTTTCAGGTTTAGGAAAATGAGATTAAAAGCCTGCGGTGTTTGATTGGGGGATGTCAGGCGTGTTGGTTTCTGGCTTGGCAAGTCGATTATGTTTAAAAGCCTTTGTGTCAGGCTTCTCTCCTCGAGGTGTTCACCTGGCACAACAAAGTCCTGCCTCCCAGGGCAGGCTCACAGGTTGAAGCTGAGGCATTTTCCTTCAGTTACCTCCTTAGGAAGTCATTCAAGCTGTCACCCAGGCTGATCAGCACCGTGTGGTGATGCTCTCTGTCCTGTGTGCCTGCCGGGTTGCTGGTGGGAAGCAGCAGAGGTGATGGGCACAAGGAACTGTGAGCTGTGCTTGGCGAGTTGCTGCCTTGCTCTTCGAGAAAACAGCTCAGCATCTCCTGCTGCTGCGTGTGGGCTGTGA